CTATCGTCACTCATTTTCGTAAATCAATGATGAAAACCCTTCGTTTGGACAATAATGAATGAATGTTAACGAAAGAACTATTTTGCAATGGTGAAAGAATTGGAATTAGAATTGTTTGTTTGAGAAGTTGTACAATTTTCTTCGTCAAACTTTGCAAACATTTCGCTTTATGCTCTTTTAGTGGGACTTGGTTATTCTAATCAAAGTTTCTTTTAAATTGAACTGAACACCAAAAGCATGATAAAAATTTGTAAAAAGTTGATGAAACTTTGGTTCAAATAAGATAATTCATACAAAATTGATGGCTATAATTAAGCTAATTAACTGGTTATTAGCAGGTTTTTGGTACTGAAAATGAGAAAAGAGAGAAAAATGGTTTGCATGTTTGAATATTAACCTTGTCAACCTGGAAAATCATTGAATCGTTGAATGGAAAAAGTTTCCGAAAATTGCCTTCTTTTTACACACACACACACACACACACACAAGGAGTATCTTTTTTTATTTTACTCCTTCTTTCGAGAGAATAGAAAATGTTTCTTTCCATTATTATCACAACTAATAAAATCAGGCAACATTATCATACTTATTAAATTACTTATCAAAATAGGTGAAGAAGAAAACGAAAAAAGGAAAAAAATTGAGAAGAAATTAATAGTCTATTCCATATTAGCATGCAATGCTACATTGTACATCAACATTTTTCAGTTTAAACTTCAATTTACATTTTAATAACATTGAACGCATATGATTGAATGTTGATACAAAATCAATCAAGTTACATAATTTTATGGCATTCACTTTGATTAACTGACTAGAAATTGAAATACTTCAAAATTTAAGCCGCTTTCTTTTCTTTGATCAACCCTTGGATTGAACTGAAAGTATCTTTGCAATCTCAATCTTCTCCGTTCGCATGAAATACTAAATATAAACTTTTAATTTATGCATTTTCGTTGCACTTGCATCCATTCAATCAAAACGACCTCTAAATATCAAGCAAAGAGTAAATTAACAATAACTTCAACAACTTTTTGGATTGAAATGACATAAAATGCTAATCCAACGCATTCGTTTCTTGAATTGCATTCGCTCTTCGTATTCTAAATGATCACAACTTATTCTCTTTCAGATTTTCTCTTAGCTTTTGATAGTTTTCACATATTGCTTTTTTTAGTTTAGTTTTTTTAGTTCTTTGCTCTTAGTTGCTGACATACGGAATGCTGAGATGCAATGGTGCAAACAGTCAGTCGAAGTTTCTTTTTCTGAAAGTTTTGCAACTTTCGTTGTTTAATGCAGTTGAATAAGTTTGAGATTTCTGTTCATTTTCGTTGCATCTTTGATGTCCATTTGATCATTAATATGAGCAACTGTAAATATTCGTGATTTTCTGTCAACTCAACGTTGCAACATTTGAAACTATTGATGGTCAGTCAACAGTAGATATTCAAGTTTCAAGTCTTCTTTAGCATTCTTCCTATTTGGTTTTTCTTCTTTTCCTTCTTTCTTTTTCTGTCTCTTCCTTTTCTACTTCTGTTTTCGTTTGTTCTTTTTTTCTCTTTTGACTTTTTTCTATTCTTTATCTTCTTTCTTTCAATCATGAATTCAGTGATTGAATGATCTGGGAGTGGAAGTGGAACCTGAGAAAAAGGCGAAAGAAGAGAGCCACGAGAAATAAGCAAAAGACAGTAAAAGGAAGGGAGAATGAAAAGGCAGAATAGAAGATGAAAAGTACGATAAAAACGAAATGAAATAAAGGAAAAAGAATTGAGAAGAAAACACAAAAAAAGTATAAATATTCATAGAGTTGGTTTAATATGGTGAATGTAAGTTTGAATGGTAAAGACAGTTGAACACGAAATATCAAGAGTTAGACAGGAAAATCCATTGGGAGAAACAGTAATTTTATAGTAACTTTGGTTGGAAAAAGTTGCAGCTACTGTTACTCGTGAAGCACTTTTCGTTATTATCCTTTTGTCTTCACCATTTCACTTTTACCATTTTGTATTCTTTCACTCATTTACTTTGTATAAATACTTTATCAGCATTTCCATTGTAGACAGTTTATCGATGCTTAAAGCTACTTGCACATTGTAGTCGCAAGTTATCCTCAATTAGCACAAGAATGCAAAGAAAAGTATTGTCTCGATTTAGCAATTATCAAGTCTAGAAAAATTTCTAATCCAATTATTTCATCGAAACTCAAAGTTTGATTTCAATAGCTCAATAGCAAGAAACGAAAAACGTGCTTTTAATGACTGTGTTCATGTTGACAGATGAATATCAAATCGACTGAAGATAATAACTCGTATAGAAGCTCGTAAAGACTTGATATCTGTTGAGTTGAAAAGATGAGTGACATTTTCTCATCTCTCAAATTCAGTCTATTCATGAGAATTACATTTTAATCCTTGGCAAACTTTTTTGTTTCTTGAAACTTTGAGCCATTTTCTGCAAAAATGCTGTGCAACAGTTGAAGGTTTCATCGGGAATTTGAAGTACAGTCACAAGTTGCACTGAAAGTCTTTGGTTATGAATTCATATTCTGGCATCAATATCAATCAATTTCAAATTTACAAGAGAAAATCAGTTGAAATTCCTTCTTCTTCTTCATTTGAATACACAGACGAACAAAATAGAATACAAACTAGAAAAAGATTCTCAAAGGATTTTATCATGAATCGACTTTTCATTCCAACCACAGTCAAAGTTTAGCTACAGACTCGAATGCCACATTGAAACTGAAACTGTGACAATGAAAGCAAAGGCAAAAACAAAATTAAACTTTGACATTAATTGTTGAGTAAATTTTAAAGTTGAATAAATTTCTATTGTAAATGGAAAAGCAAAGCAAAAAGATTGAGCAAAATTGGATGAAAAACTTTTTGTTGACTTGCTTTTTGTCAAAGTTTCCAAACAAATTTAAAGGTTAAACTGTGAAAAGTTGAACTTTGGTGAAGAGATTAAAAATATCGTGAAATGGAAACGTCAAACAAGAGTATGAAATGTCGCAGAAAATTAATCAAGCAGAATAATTAACAGTGAAAAATGTGTCAAAAGATTTACTCTTAATTACTTTACTCCAAGTAAATCTTATTACAAATGCCTAGACTCTAAGCCCGATTCCCAGTCTTTTTTAATTATCAACTAAGAGTAACTTGTTCTTCTGTCAACTGGCGCTCTGTTTATCATCAGTTAATCCAACTCGAAAAGTTGAAAAGAGAAAGAAAAATGAAAAAAGAGTAAAATCGAGACAAACTTTGAAAAGATATTGTCGACAAAGTTTGAGCCAAGAAGCTCCTTATCCATTAACATCAACACTTTTCCCTGCAACTTCTTCATTCTAATCATTCTCATCTTATTGTCTGATAATATTTCTCCCCATTGACCACTGTCAATCTGATTCCTATTAAATCATCAATCACGGTCAACGATAATCCCTTTTTCCCTCAAACTTTACTCACCTCAATCATGTTTACAATAATTCCTTTCATTCCTGTTCTACACTTTCCTCTCTCTCTCTATCAATCCATATTCAGTTATTGTTTTTGACGGTTCAAACTTGTTTATCAGTGTTAATCATGTTCAGTTTGAGAATCAATTTTCAAGCTTGTTTACTCATCAGTTGTGAGTTGAATGTTGAGTTAAAGGTCTTTCATTATAACCCAACCAAATGAGGGAAAAAACAGAGAAAAGCAAAGGAAAAGGAAAAAAAGGCAGAAAATGAATTCTCAGGTTGATAATATTAACAGATATAATACATTAATAATGTTGACTCAGCAGTTAATCATCAAGATCTGTATTCAACATTTTCAATGATAACAAATTTTATTTACCCTTTCAGTACAGTATAATGCAATAAGAAGCGCAAAAAAACATAAGAAGAAGAAGAAGAAGAAGGAAAAAAAGTCATTCATTTTATATTTTCTTTTCAACTTCTGAGTTGAATCCAAACAGGGAATGAAAAGGGACTGAATTGAAAAGAGTGCAAATAAAAAATGAAGCAAAATGCTGGTACAAACTGCAAGATATTCTTGAACTTTTGTTCTCTCTCTTGGAATAAAAAACTACATAATCTATCAAGGTAAATGAAATGAAATATTTTTTTCGCCATTTCTCTTTTTCTCTCTTCTTTCTTTCTCCTTCCAACTGAGAGATTGTATTATTCTCTTTCTTTTTCATTTTCTAAACATTTCATCGTAATCATCATCATCATCATCATGTTGTATAACATTATAAAACTGTCATTTAATCATTGGAATAACATTATTCAAGAGGAAAGAAAGAAAAGGGAAAACAAAACGAAAGGAGAGAAAAAACAATTTCAAAATCTGTTTGTATCGTTGAACCTCAGACCAAATTACAGATTCAAGATTCTCTCAATAATTCTCATAACTTTAATTAAATTATAAAGATAGAGAAGATGAGAAGAGGGAAGAAAACAAATAACAGGGAAATACAGATTGAATGGAAGGGAGAAGAAGAGGAATGAAAAATCCAGAGCTTCAATAATGTTCACTCCATGATAATCATGACATGATAAAGTGAAAATGTAAATGACAGTTGAAAGAAGAGTGAAAAAAAGTACATTTCATTGCATGATAATTGTATTAAACATGAAAGTACTGCAATGATGAATAACGATGAATCGAAACGTAACCAGAAACTCTGATTTTTTGGTACAAAATTGAGATTCGTTTTTACTGTCTACTAACTTTTAGTAAAGTGATCAAATTGCAAAAAGTAAAATACTTTTAAATCAATCAAATTTATTCAATGTAATTATGATCGATAATCGATAAGTTTAGAATTTAAAATTTGAGAATTGATAGTACACAAGATTTGCATAAAAAGTCAAATTCGCTATTAATTGGCGGAAAATGTTCCAAATTTATCATGAAATTAAACTCGAAACATGATTATCCAAATGGTGGAATTTAAACCAAGTTCTCATTGATCAGCAATTGAAACTTTTCTTTCTGTTCTTTCTCTTTGTACAGAACCTCATCCTCGACACCATCGTTATCATTCCCATGTTCAACGACCTTATCATAGTCAAGAGGAAACTCCAGTGGCTTACCTACCAATTCTGAGTTTATCTCTTGTTATCAGTTTTTTCCTTATCATCAATTGTTATAAGAAAGAATCGTCACCACATATACCTGATCTCACCGAGACAAGTCGCCTTTCCAGTTTTTTTTCTCGAACCTGCAAAGGACATCAATCCTTTCTCCTAACCAAAGCTACAACTGCAACCTTACCAACAACCAGCTTACCCTTGATCAACAGCTCTAAAGCCGAGGGTAACAACGTCGAGACTAACAGTGATAATAATAATACAAGGGTGAAACATTTCGAAGCCAATTTTGAAGTAAAAAAGTTGACCTCTTCATTGGCTGGCGATTGTGAGGCAAACTCGATTTGTCCGCAAAATGTTTACATGAATGGAAATGAATGCCAATATGAACAAGTGCAAAATGAAATTGACCCAAGTCAACGAGTCCTACAATCGACAAGACACTATCAACCGCAAAGTCTTTTACCTTGCCAGTATCAACATGATTACCATTGTTACCAGCAATGTCAACCTCGATACTTGGCTAACTGTGAAAGTGAATCAACCGTGAAAAGTCCGTCATCTAGGTTAACCTCTTCTCTATCAGAGCCCTCACTCTCGACCCACAAGGCAATGGAATCAAGTGCATCACCTTTGGAGGCAACACCAAGTAATGATAATCATCATAAACGCTATTCTACCTCTGAAATTTTTATCAACTTTTGTTCCAAAATGGATTCGCTACACTCGGATTCACCGCCACTTGCACCGGCAATTGCAAGCAAATCATTTTGGTCAGAATCGGTGAAAACAAAATGTTCACCAACTTGCCTCTCTGATAGAAGTATCATTAATGATTCTGATTTAGATAGTAATAATAATAATAATATTAATAGTTGTAATGTTGATAATAATTTCATTAACTCAAGTAACAGAAAGATGACTAATATAACAAGAAATCCGGTTTGCCTTGGATACAAGATAAATGAGAAGTTTATCAATTGTGTTGATGAATCTTTTTTTGAACGAGAGTCAACTCATTCAAGTGGCCCTTCATCACCAACATCATTATCATCATCGTTAACATCATCAAACTCCTTGGTTCCCAACTCATCTTCTTCTCCTTCTTTTTCTTACGGTCAAACAAATAATATCTTTTCAAAGCAAAGTGACCACCTCAAACCAAGGATAACCTATTTTGATTCCATTGTTGTTTATCGCTCAGATTCTGGTGATATCAGTGATTTTATCAGTTCCTTTGTGTCTTGATGCTGAGAATGGTGATGATGATGATATAATCATGAGAAAGAGGCAAGAAAGCAGAAAAGAGAGAGAGAGAAAGAAAAAAGTAATTTTCCTTTTTTTCATAAATATATTTATTAATATTGTGCAAGTATAAAAGCAACAACAGCAACACCAAACAAAAGAAGCAAAAATCTTTACTCCTTTTCAATCTCAAACTCAACATTTAGTTTATCCTTTCATCATTATCATCATCATCATCTTCTTAAGTTGTGTATATATCTATTATTATATTTCATTTTACCATTAATATTTCTTCTTTCTTTTTTTTCTTCCCTTCATTTTTGGTTCAACAGTGAAAAGAAGAGAGTGAAAACAAGAAAAAAAAATTGTGAAGCAACACCAAAAATCCCAGCCTTATAATAACAACCAATAACAATATAATGCTGATAATGTTGATAATAATGAGTATAATGATTTAATACCCAAAGACATTGTCTGTGTCTCACTACGTATAAGTGTGTGTTACTAATATGAACACATAAAAAAAGAGCAACTTTAACATCTTAATTCAATTTTGTTGAAAGCCATTAATTTCAAGCAACAACAGAAAATAAAGAAAAGCAAAATTTTCCAACAAAAGGTTGAAAAGTATTAGCGGCCAATTTAAAGATTCAATGGTCAAGACTAGCCGAAAAAAGTAAAAAAATGTAAACCCAAATATCAATAAACTATTCCAGCCAATTCGAACGATTTTTTTGGCCTCTACTCGACTCTTATAAAATTATGAAATGATTTTGATTTGACTTCTAATGTCATCAGGAGCGATTTAAGAGAAATGACCTTGCATGATCTTGACCTCGGAATATGGAAAATCTGAGAAATTTTCAGAAAAAAATTTCAGTCCGCCAAGTCATCTAGGAGTCGAGTAATAGCCAAAAGAAATCGTACAAATTGGATGAAATGCTCTGTAGATGAAAATGGCAAGGATAAAAGGTTAGAAGAAAATGAAGATCTTTGGGATAAAGTTGGAAGATGAGCATGATGAAGGGAAAAGAAATGAAAATGTTAACCTGAAATGTAATGTTGGTGAACCCAATGGCTTAATCTTAATGCCTTTTCAGTCTTTATTTTCTGTTGGATTCAACAATTTTTTTCCTCTTCCATCGACTTTTCTCTAAAATAAAATGGTCATTTTTTCTCACCTTTTTCCTTTTGTGGTTCACCTTTATTTTTACACCCAATTCTCGATACATTGAGAAACTAATGAATCTGTGGAAAGAAAAAAATGTGAACGAAAATGTTTCCAAATTTGTAACCTTTTTCTTTTCTTCTTTGAATCCCCAAAATCAAGTCCAACTTGATCAATTGATGGGATGAGATTAGCTGGTAGATCAGGTAAAGAGTTGAATCCTTTGTTGCACTTTTAAATTGAATAGTTAGATTCGGAAAGTTATACCTTATATCATGTTGTGCTTGGAAATCAGTGCAATGATAGTAAAAGTTGTTGCTCATTCTAAGCACATAATCGAGAAAAGTTGAGCTGAAAAGGAACAAGCAAAAGTTTTTCTTTCTGCAGTGAGAATGATGAGTCTAATCAAGCTGGAATGATGACAAGTGAGAGGATATGAGAAATGAAAGAATTTGATGAAGAAGAAGAAGAAAATAGGCTTGAAATGAGAACAAAAAACGGAAGAGAAATCAGTCTGTTTATCATCATTCATCAATTCCAGTTCTCCTTATTACTATCATTATCATGATTTCAACTCATTTCTTTTCTCCATTTTCTTATTCTCTACTCAATTCTTTCCAACACACATTCAGTTTCTTCTTCTTCTTCTTCTTTTCCCATCTTCTTTTTGTTCCCAATGATTATTGAATTGGATTAAATAAACTTACCAGTTTAGTGTAAATTAAACGGAAACGTTGGATAAGAAGCAAAGAACTAGACTTGAATAATGTTGCAAGTTTACCTGAGAAAGTAATGTCAAATAAAAGTCGAAAAGAAGAAGAAAAGAAAAGAAAAAATAAGCAAAAGTTGCATCGAATGCAAGATTTATTTTACCTTCAACATGACTGTTAATTGCATTGGGACATTAATGATGATCACTGATTGGCTTTGGTTAACATTGATGAAGAAAGAAAAACTAATTTATTATCTTTATTCCGTTATCATGAACAACCCATTAACTCATTGTTTTCTCGTATTTATTTCATTTTCGCTCTCAATTTGTCCAACTTTGTTCAAATGAATTTCATCTGAAGAGAAAAGGAGAAAAAGGAAAAATTTTAAGTAAAACTGAAAAGATTTCAATCTCAACTTTGCTCTTGTTCACTTCACATGCAAAGATTGATGCACTCTTCTTTTCTTGTTGAACCAATTTTGACCTTTTCCTTGTTCCAACCTCATTAGATAATTTGTTTGAAATTTTGTGGTGAAAACAGAGAAAAAAAACGATTTCTTCTCTCATCAATTTTCTCGTTTCTTCACCACCAAGCTCAACATCATCACCTTTTCATTGCCATCATCAACCCTTCAAATAATTACTTAACATCACTTTGCTTTAATTAGATGCTGTTGTTGCCATCAAAAAGATGAAATAAGAAGAAGAAGAAGCAAAAAAAGTGCAAATAAAAGCGCAAAAAAAGTTGAATCTCAGATGAAATCGTCCGAACGTCATGTTAACGTTAACCTTTCCAAATGAATAGTGTGCAAAGTTGGGCGAAGAAAAAATGTTCACTTTTTTTCCAAGATTCTTTGTTTCCTTATTTCCTCCTGCAAGTCATCTGTTTTTTTCTAATTGCACATTCAATAGAAAAAAAAGATTTTCCTGAACAATGAAGAAGAAGCAAAAAATGAGATTCACTTTACGTTAATGTTGACTCGACGAGGCTCACCAATATTGAAAGATAAAAGTGTTTATCAAAAGTTGAAACTGGTGAAAAAGTCCATCACATTATGGCGCATTATCATGTAAATAAATTAATGTAAATGTCAATTTGTCAAAATATAACTTTGTTAATAAATAATTGCTGAATGTCAAGTTAATGATTGATAAATAAATGATGATAATTTTACTCACCTTTGTTGCTGAATTTTTGGGTAAACGATAAAGAGACGAAGAGAATAAAAAGTTGAACTAATTCATGGGATTGATTAAAGTTTAACGTCAAAGATGAAAAATGTTTTGCCAAATAATAAATTCATGAGACTTTGATGAAACAAAATGTTCAATCATTCATTGGGAATAACAAGTGAAAACTATTGTTGAAGCATTTGCATTCACTTGTGATTTCACAAAAGGTAAAGTTAATGAGAATGAAAGTGAAAATTAAAGTCAAATTGAACAATTTAATAGCAAGCAAAAAAGAGAAAATAAAATTGCAAAAAAAGTTGATCAAAATGTTTTTTTTTCTTTCATGAAATGCTAGAAAATGTTGTTTCCTGAGAAAATGTGAATAAAATTGGCCACAAAAATGTAATCATGGAATGAAATTCTGTATAAAATATGCAAAACTCTTTTCCCTCCCAACCAAAGTTTCAATATTTTCTCTCTTTTCAATTGCAATTTTTTTCTCTCTCAACTTTTTTTTCTCTTTTACCCCAAATTCATTTTCACTTCAAAATTTGACCCTTTTGCTTCTTCTTTTTGCTTCGATTTTTAACATTTTCTCTTCTCTCTCTCACACTGATCAAATGTGATTGAAAAGAAAAGCGAATTTTTTTCGTTCCATTTCAAACACTTTTTTCTTGCTTTCCTTTTCCATGAATTATGAAATTCAATTTGAACAAATTGAAGGTTGATTTGTTTTAACTACACATTTATTTGAATACATTTGAATGTATTATTTGAAAGCTTATTTTCAACAAGAAAAAGGTAAAACAAGTTTTGACTCGAGAGCAAAAATCATTAAGCATTCAATGTTGACTATCATTTGGCATCTTTAGTTGGCTTTTGCTTTCATTACAATAAATGGTTATCATAAAAGATCAGCTCAATTGGGACAAAACTTTTTTTCATTTCTCTTTTTATTTTCTCCTTCTTCTTCAGTCTTTAAAGGTAAAAATTGATCAGCAATGATATTCATCAGTTATCAGTTTGGTTCAACCATTTACACCAATCAATCATGTTGTTTGAATGGGGAATGAACAGGGAATGAAATGGAATAAAAAACAAGAGGAGAAAAAAAATGAGGTGAAATACGATTTGTAATCAACAATCATTATTCATTGTCAAAACAATTCTCATCCCAACTGAATGATTATCCAACATTTTGCTTCCTTTTTTTGGTTCATCATTTTTGATATTGTTGTTAGAGAAACAAGAAAAAGTAAATGTTATTGAAGGTGAACAAAAAAGTAGTTTTTTCACCTTTAATGCTGCACCAACAATAAAGAAGTACATTTTCAAATACTAATCATTCATTTTCTTGCAAATTGATTCGAGATTTTTTGCTTTTTGTTTTCTTATTTTCTCATATGGTGACACTATGGAACTGAAACTTCGATTTGAAGCATGTCCATTCTAATAACGTAACGTAGGTAAAAGCTAATGACCTTTACGAAGATGGGAGTTGAAATAAAAGTTTTAATATTATTTCTCTCTTCATGATAATTCCAGCTATTGTATTCATTTTTCCATTTCATCCTAATCTTTCTTTTTATTAGCCAAATCAATCCGTTAATCAATTCGTTTCATTGTAGCTTTTCTCATTTCAAAGGTATTAACTATCCTTAGCCTTGGCTTTTGCACACTTCTTTTACCATTACAGCTTAGTCTCAGTTTCATCTCATTTTCTTGACACTACTTACTGCTAGTGGGTCAATCTTTCACTGGCTTTGTTACACCTTCACTCATAATGCTGAGAAAAACAAGTGAATTAACTTTAATTTTGTATCCATTAACTTGTCAATGAATTTCCTCTCTTCTTTCCTCAATCTCTCTTAATTTTCTCAATTTTTCGCAATCGAAGTCAAGTGAATCATCAAAATTAAATGACTTGTTTCCTCAGCTTTACTAACTCCAAGCCCTTCACTTTATTCATACCAGAGTCTAAACTTGAATCTTCGATAAAAAAACCAAACTAAACAGAACAACGAAAAAGCAAAAAAAAGAACTCGAAAATAAATTTTCTATTGTCTAACTAATTGCGATTCTTCAATTATTAAAACTGATACAATTTAACTGTTCTCGAATCAACACAAATCCACAAACTATTAGGATTATTAGTTACAAAATGAACATCCACAAGCCATGAATATACGATTAAAGCAACTGGCAATTTCAGGTTAATGTTAAAAAAGAAAGAAAATAATCTTTTTTTTCACATCATGAAAATTAGTTAATACACTCGATGCAATAAAACGAAACCAAAAGTCAATTTGTTCAACTTTGGCTTCCATTTTATCGTTCAACAAACTTGTTCAAATCAAACCTCAATTGCATTTTACAATTAGAAGCAAATGTTTCAAACAAAATGTAAAACAAAAATTCAAATCTGAACCGAGCAATGAAAGGCAAGGGAAAGTCAAAGGTAAGCAGAATAATAAATTATCAATTTAACCCAAGTTCAACTTATTAGATTATCAAATTGAAAATGTTTCCATTTATTGACAAATTTTTCTCAACACTTTACCAAGTCTCTTGGCCAACAAAATTGTTGAAAAATTTACTTCGTTTCCCTTTTTCAGGAAGAAAAAGTAGAGAAAAATTTGATGCATTTTCCTCATCATGACAGTTTATTTATTTACTTTACATTATATCACTTACCATGCAACAGTTATCGTCTAAATATATATTCTGATGCCATTTTCTCTGCTTTTTTCAAACAAACAACCTTTTCTCTTCTCTTCTTTGTAACCAAATAAAATTCAAGGGGAAAAAATGAACGAAAATAAGAATCAGATAATTGAATGATATTTGTTGAAGAGTTTTTTTCCTCTTTCTTACAAACTTGCAAGTTATATCATTATCACAATTTTTTTATTGTTATTTCTACACTTTTCCATCCTTTACGTTTGAATCTTTTTCTTACTCTTTTTTTCACTCTCTTATTATTTTTATTATTACCATCATTCTTTTCCCTCCAAGGCAATCCATGAGATCTCTGTGATTCCAACATTTTCTGCCATTCAGAAGTAATATTATTTACTCTTATCTCATCAACACTCTTCATTATCACTAGCATTATCATCGTTTCGTTGCTTGAAAAAGGAAAACAGAAAGCAACTTGGAATCTATTATCTGAAACAGAGAAAAGAAGGAAAGAAAAAAGGAAGAAAAAAAAGAAAAACTTATCAACTTTCACCTCCCAGTTATAATAATGATAATAATAATAACAATAATAATAATGTTTTCTGATGAGTAAAAGTTGAAATGAAATGTAGGTCAATAAGTTATCATTATAATGGAATGCAAAAACTGAATTAGCTGGAAAACTTTAGATAAATTTACTTTCATTATTCTTACCTTGAATGGTAAAAATCCCTTTACTCTTGACAATATCAATAATAAAAAGATAAACCAAATTTCCACCCTTTTTTGCTCTACACTAGACAAGACTTGATGACTGGGAGGGAAAACTATCCAACCACAAGTCTGCGATTTTTTAATCATTTTTTCTTTTCGTCATATTTTTCCATAGAAATGGCCAAAGACTGTCCAAGCATTTCACACCTAACGATAAATTGCATAATTTAATATTCTTTTCTTCCCTCTACACGGGATTGATAACACTAGAAAATACTGATTACTGGGAGGGAAAATTATCCAACCACGAGTCTGGGAGGTTCTGTCATCATTTTTTGCTACTTTTCCAATCGAATTTTTGATCGCTATTCTACAAGGTATTCAAGTCAATAGGTCGGACTTTTGAAGGCTTACAACTCAGCAACCGTCCAGTCGATTCTTATCACTTTTACTTCGATCGAATACCTTGTATGCATTTAACAAGTAACTATAAATTCACTAATTTTGCCCAACAATTTTCTTCTTCCCTGCGGTTAGCGGAAAACTCATAACTAACTGGGAGTTTTTATTATCATGTTTTTCTTTTTATTATCATGTTTTTCTTTTTCTTTTTTGTCAACTTTTCAAGTCGAAATGGTCAATCGTTATTCTGAAAGGACAAGTACAAGTAACGATAATTTGTACCAACACTAATTTTGATTTACATTTAATAACATTTTTTTTCTTCGCTTGGGATTGTTAACACTAGAATTAATACAATTTTGTTTACTTATCCTACTATTTAATGTTATATCTTTATTACTTTTATATTATCATTATTATTTTTCCTTCTTCCTCACCAAACTCATTATTTAGCTCATCATTGTCATGATAACATTACATTATCATGTTTACTGCTCTTATTCATCGAGAGAGATATTCATTGTTCTTCAATTTTATCATTTTACTTGTTCCTTCCCTTTTTGCTTTCCCATAACAGCACATAAATAGTCTCAACCACTTAGATTTGTTTTCCTAATTTCATTCTCATCATTTGATCCTCTTATTACATGATATAGTATTTTTTTCTCCTTCCCTGTAATCATCTTTCCTTTAAGCTGTAAATGCCTTCAGGGTGCATTACGTTGCCATTTTTGGCCAACTTTTTCCTCTCATGATTATCTATCCGTCAGTCCATTTACCTTTTTTTTGCTCTTCGCTCTTTGACTTTACTTTTTTATTGCTTCTCCTATTTTCTTATTAGAATCAATTGAGCGCAACACTGGGAATGATAACGAAAATGATAATAAACGTTGTAAATAGCTGGGAGTGGAAAAGAAGAGTAAATGCAAAGAGCAAGAGAGAAATGATGAAGATGAGGAAAGATAGTTGAGAGCCAAAAGGAAGTGCCAAATTGGTAGTAAATAAGCACCGATAGAGCAACAAATTCATCTCTAGATTACCATGTTAAGTATCATGTGCCGTGAAAAATGATTGAAAAAAGAGCAAAAGCAAGTCGAGAAAGAAAAGCAATTTTCAATAATGCAATTTTCTCAATCAAGGATTACATGAATCACAATCAATTAACATTTATACCGATATTTATCATGCTCATTAGACAAGCTCATT